AAGGTCGTTCGCATTACTGAGTCTATGAACCTGAACGATCCCAAAACCCGACGAGAAGTTTTGTCCATCGCAAAGGAGGCCCACAAGGACGGTCTTCGTATCCTCGTTTGGGCTAGTCTTCCTTGTACGGGGGGTTCGCAATGGGCTCGCCTCAATCTTGCCGTCGACAAGAACCGAAGCGCCGTCTTCGAGGCCCGGAGAAAATTCACCAAGCTTTGGGCATCATTTGTCGACCTGTCCCATGGCCTCGATCGACTATTAGTCGACTATGCCATTGAATGGCCAAAGGACTGCGAGTATTGGAAATGGACTCGGATTGTCAAATGGATCGAGGGGAAACCCATTCGGAAGGCCCACTTCGACGGTTGTCGTTTCGGTCTTCGCAACGAAAAGGGTGAATCCGTCAAGAAACCATGGACTATTGCTACTACCTTGGATTCCTTGTATGCTGCATTCCGTGACAAGTGTTGCACTGGAGGGCACGTGCATGGCAAGTGTAATCGCAGCTCTGAAGAGTACTGCTTGCGCATGGTTGATCTAATTCACAAGGCGTTTCAGGAAAACATGAGCAGGACTCCTTGCACATACGTAGCCGCTCCAGCAATCAAGCTCCCCAGCAATCCTCGCCTCGAATCTCCTCCTTGTCTTTCTGAAGGAATGGCATCTCGTGCAGTTGAGATTCTCAGCGCAGAGGAGCGTGCTGCTCGCTTCCAAGAAATGTCGGCCGCCGCTACTGATGCGGATCGCCTGGCTGACGCCTTGGCTGGACTTTCATCACCAGCGTGGTGGAATGATGCAGTGCGCAATTTCCGGGAGCCCACGGAGGCTGACAGTCCCGATGACTTGTTTCTTCGTGTCATCCCTGTGCAACAGTGGCTCGATCTCCGGAAGGGGTATCCAAGTGTGCCGTGGACCACAATCTATGAGATGTGGTACCGGATCTACGGCGTCAGGGCCTACAGCACTGACGACGTGCCGTCCAAAACGGTACATGACTCCTCCCTGGCGGGATGGACGCAAACTATGCTCGACCTCATCTTCGACATGGCTGTCGTGGGATGGGGGCCAAGGGCTCAGAGTGCGTTTGACGTCTCAAAGCCATATGATTTGTGCTACCGCGTCACCGAGATGGAGCACGGCCTTTCTGACCGACCCCTCCACACGGATGTGGTACAGCTCCTGGGGGGTTTCTATACCCCGGCTTTTGAACGCATTCCGCCACCGCCAACGATGAAATCCCAAGTTCTCATCATCGGCGACTCCTCTCTCGCCTTGTGCACGCACAAGGGCGGTCGTGCGATCAACAAGATGACATTCCAGGGTCCCCTTCGGGATGTTCTGTCGCATGACCCTCGCGTGACGGAAGTCAACGTCATGATGGAATGGGGCAAGGACCTCACTCTCCTCACCCAGATCGTGGAGGATTTCTTGAGGATCCACCACCCTGACGGGTTGGATATTTTCATCAGTTGGGCGGGGAACGACGTCCATGGCCCGTATGGGTACCAGGGCTACACGTGGCACCTTGTGTCGCCCTGGATCAAACAGACCGAAGAGCAAATCCGCAGAGCGGAGCACTGGCCCGTCAAACAGTTGGCCAAGGTGGAAACCGCACTCCGGAAGGTTGTTGCGTTGGCTGGACATGAGTGTGTCAGGTCGTTGACCGTTGTCGCTGGCACTGTCGCCCAGGCCTACGGGCTGGATTGGGAGTACGACAGGGAGATGAAGAAGCACACCGACTACCTGGTCGCAAACGGCGTGAGGGTCGTCGACCCTTACGCGCTTCTTTATGGCACGGTTCGTTACGACAAATACCACATGGTTGCCACGCAAGACAACTTTCAAGCTGCCACGGATTGGTGGCGAGCGCTTGTCTCCACCACCCTGACGGGTCGGCAGATCTTCATGATGCGGGAGGACTTCCTTGCAAATCAGCGAAGCCAGATCTTCAACAATCACTTCCACTTGGCGCAGCCGGAAATGTCCCTTACGGTCCCACCGTGCACCGACATGGTGAGGCCAAGGATTGAGGACTTCGCGTGGCGGGCGCCTACGTCGAGAGATCAAAGCGAGGAGATCATTGTCGCCCAGAATGTTGTCTCGGACGAAGACCACCCAGACATGGGTGCTGTCCCTATCACCGAGGACGACCGGGCTTACCTCAACCCTGACGGGTCTGGCGGCGATGACGACGAGGTGATCCTCTTCGACGCGAACAACCCCCGTGTGAGGAGGTTGATGGAGGCGCTCGACTCGGTTGAAGGCCAGCTCGATGACGAGCAAGCCGTCGAGATTGAGAAGGAGCGCGGCGTCGACACCATTGTCATCAATGATCCTGACGATCCGGACATTGCGTGTGAACCGCTCCTCCCCATCAACGAGCCGGATTCCTCCGTGGAAGAGATCTTGCATCAGACCAGAGAGAGGGTTCGCCAGGATAAGACCCTCATCGATCTCAGCGAAGACGTCACCGACCTGGGGAACAAGGTCTTGCCTGCTCCTTCCCGAGCTGCGCCGCCCAAGGCAATGCCTGCGCGTGCACCTCCCGGAAGGGATGGTCCTACCATCGACGAGTCAGCAGCGTACTGGTGCGTCGGTAGCGAGATGCCGGTCATTCAGATCAGGCGCCGCCTCTCTCCTAATGCCCTTGAGACGTTGAGCCGAAAGATGACATGGCTGCTCCGCGGCTTCTCCAAAAAGTGCGCCCACGCACCCCATCTTGAGTTCGATGGGAATGGAACAACATCTTTCCCGGCATTCTTCGAGGCGTTGGGGCAGATTTGGAATGGGCTCCGTATGGAGCAGATCTTCCAGGTGTGCGAGTCGTCTGAGAAGGAACGCTTGAGTTTCTCATCCACCCGGAAGGGAGGATTTTGCGATGCCGTGCAATCCAAGGCCACAGCGGGGCGCTCATGACCGAGAACTCTGACCCCATGCTTGTGAATCGCAGATCCTTCCATCTGGTCGACGGGTGGAGACCCAGTCTTCGCGAATACCCTCCTGTTGGAGAGGCTGGCTTCACGCACAGCACTTTCCATACGATGCCAAAGATGGGGTATCACTCCACCTACTTCCGCCACTTCAGGAGCATCGTCGAGAGCGGTATCATCCCAGGGGGAATGTCGCGAGACGGGAGTCGTCGCAGATTTTACGCCATGATGTCACCGAAGCCAGCATGGGAACGTGACTGCATGGAGGGCGTGAGGCCTGATGCCGAGATCGAGTTCGTGATCGACCTCCAAATGGCGGCGTTGGACGGGGTTCGGATCTTTGAGACGGCTGCTGGCGCGGTGCAAACCCCAGATTGGCTGTCCAACCGTTACCTTGTCTACGCCTGTAGGAGATCCTCGAATGAGCCGATCTGGATCAACAGGGCGTACGAGCATGCTCGTCTTCGCATCGACAAGGCTGTGAAGGAGTTCGCCGCACACAGGAATGTGTTGCCCGTCTTTGACAATGATCCCTATCGTTGCATTACGGACGGCGCGGCCACCTGCTTCCTGGACTACCTGAAGATTCCCCCAGAGGAAAACTTCACTGAGTGGGCCCCTCTCGCAGCCGATGCCTATACCCCGTTCCAGCTCCACTACGAACCACAGTGGGATTATGGTGGTCAGCCGGTTCGGATCCCGGAAGGGCATCCTCTTCACCCTGCGCTTCACGACGCCTGTTGGGGCATGCGGGCACTTGTGCTGCCCACGCAGACTGCACTTACGGTGGATCGAAAGCTTCGAGGAGACCCAAGGTTCTTCAGGCACCAACAGTGCGTTGCGTTCCCCAACTTCAACTGCCCTTTCTGCGATTGCAACGACTTGATCGACGGGCTCACAAAGTGTCTCAAATGTGAAGAGCGGTTGACCTTGCCCACGGACCTGGCGAAGATGGCGCAGCCCTTTGAGGCCCGCGATGACGCCACCCGGAGGGGTAGGCCGATGAACATCTTTGAGATTCAGCCTTCCATTGGCCTGAACTCCAACCGAGATCATCGGAATCCTCGCCGCGTCGATGACACGACAGTGGACCGTCGCAAGTCCAGCTCAGGAGCGACCTTAAAGGCGAAGATCAACAAGTCGCTTAGCCGTGCCAAGGAGCGCACAGGAGGTGATATCACCCTCGGCGCGATCCTGGCGGAGTCGCCCATGGATGCCTTCAACTGGATCTCCCAGGGGTTCAGCTTCACGAGCCTCAACCAGATCACGAGGTTCGCCGACATTCGGCTCCCGAACCCTGGGATGGCAGGAGGCAAGTATGCCGAAGGCACCGACGCCTACCACAACGTCGACGGGCGGCTCGCCTACATTTGGTGCAGCGACGACGATTACGTCAACATCCTGACGGATTGTTTCATCTCTTTCCAGGACCGGTTTTACACCGTGCTCGAGATGGCCGTCATCATGTTTGCAGTGCACAGGACGACAACCGACCGCTTCTACCTGATGACCAACACCCCAGGCGAACGTTGGTATCCAAACGGAAGAACTATGGCCGGAATTCTCGGAGAGCTCATCAACCTCATCCGACGTGACCTTCCTCACTCAGCCAAGAGGGGCGAAGTGGCCCCACCGCTGCAGATGACGCAGGATATCCACGTCCCGGAAGGGTTCAGTTCTCTGGGAGATCGTCAGTTGGCACAGCTCCTCCAATTCACCCGGTTCAGGACGCGCAACATCAGGTCCACGATCCAAGATCGGGTTGATCGACTGAGGAGGGACAGAGCATCGTCGGCGCCCAGTGATCGCACGCCACCATGGGTGCAACAGCCGCAATCCTCCAGAGGAAGGTCCAATACTCCCTGGCAATCGGGAGGGTCGCCCCGCAGAGAGCAGGTCGAGGGACAGGCAGTCACCGTGGAAGTCACCCCCGGCTGACGCAACGCCTCCTCCTCCGAAGGCACCACTGCAGGTCAAGGCGCCCCCCGTGATGCAGTTGACATCGAAGAGGCCACCTCCGCCGGCACCATTGACAAGGTCATCGTCACCTGTTGCCAGACCTGGGACGCGATGGCAAACAACCGGCCATTCGCCGAGGAACGCCCTGCCGCAAGGCAAAGGGTCGTGTCCCCTGGACAGTCTCGCCACGCGGAAGCGGCGGCCCCACCGGGCTTGTCCCGCCCCGCGGAAGCGGCGGCCCCTGCGCCGATCGACACTGAGGCTGCTCCACGACCGATGGTGGTCGAACCCGCCACTCCTCCGTCGAGAGAGCGGATCGCCATGAATCGTGGCATGCAGATCATCTACGAGACTCTTGGCCGAGTCGTCTCGTGGGGCCAAGTGATCGGTGGAACCGACATTGATCACGCCCGAGACCGGGACGTCAATTGGCCCACATGGGTCGGATATATGTGGGCGGTCATGAGAGCCCTGGACATCCCGGGCATGTCGGTGGATAATGCTCTCTACGCGATCCCCGTTCATGGCACCGTGGACACATTCCAGATCATGGGCCCCGACCACGTGAAGTCCTACCTTCGTGGCTGGCACAACTGGCGATGGGACTATGCCACCGATGCTTGGAAGCGCGATTATTAGTTTCCTTCCTTTTGCATCGCACCGGCCTGACGGCTTGGTTTTCGCCGCTCTGACGGGCTGGCTACCTTTTCCACTTTAGTCAGCATTTCTTTCAGGGCCGCGGAGCTAAGCTCTGTGGGGCAAGCACCAACACCCTGCCGGGTCGTTTGGCAGCGAGTTGTTGGTCAAGGGTGCCAAGATCATTTGTTTGAATCAAAGTAGCGTCGCAAACAGCTGATGTGTCGCCTCTCCGTTGCTCTAAGATGCGCGGGGGGTGTCGATACTTCAAGATATCAGCTGTATTACTGTACTTACGCTACTTCATTGGCTCAAGACAAAAAGTGCGTTGCACTGTACTTGTTGAGTTTAGGGCTTTCCGCTGGTAACAATAACCCTAAACCCTAAACCCTAAACCCTAAACCCTAAACCCCAAACCCGAAACCCTAAGCCCTAAGCCCTAAGCCCTAAGCCTTAAGCCCTAAGCCCTAAGCCCTAAGCCCTAAGCCCTAAGCCCTAAGCCCTAAGCCCTAAGCCCTAAGCCCTAAGCCCTAAGCCCTAAGCCCTAAGCCCTAAGCCCTAAGCCCTAAGCCCTAAGCCCTAAGCCCTAAGCCCTAAGCCCTAAGCCCTAAGCCCTAAGCCCTAAGCCCTAAGCCCTAAGCCCTAAGCCCTAAGCCCTAAGCCCTAAGCCCTAAGCCCTAAGCCCTAAGCCCTAAGCCCTAAGCCCTAAGCCCTAAGCCCTAAGCCCTAAGCCCTAAGCCCTAAGCCCTAAGCCCTAAGCCCTAAGCCCTAAGCCCTAAGCCCTAAGCCCTAAGCCCTAAGCCTTACTGTTGATGTTGGGCTAAGGAGTTCAAAGGGCTTGTAGGGTTTGAGTCGGTTGTCTGAGTTCTGGTTCCTATGTTTATGTGACCTTCGTTTGAGCTACCTCCGGACGGGACCATTCTGTTGCCCAAGAGGGTTCTAGGAATTTTGTTTCTTTTTGCTTACTATTTTTGTTGTTTGCGGGGGAAGGGTTGAGACATTCAGCTGAATCACTCTCGGGTACGTAGGGGCATTAGCACGCGTCTCAGGTATGAAGGGGCTTTCGGCTAACCTACTGGGCTCTATGCCAAGAGAGATTTGGGGGATTCAAGGTTGCTATTCGTAGACAGCTGCATGGCTGCTACAGTGCCCAAGCGCAAGTGATTGAGGCACCCGCCCCGGTTTTAGGTGTTGACGTTTGCAGTGGGGCAGCAGCGCACGAATGGGGTTTCTTTTTTTTCCATGTTTAGGGCTGGCAATGTAGGGTTTAGGGTTGCTTAGGGTCAAGAGATACTTAGATCAGTAGAAGCGAGAAACTCTTCCGCGGGTGCGCTCCGCAGGGGTCGTGTGAAGAGTCCCACTCCTGCCTGGGCCACAGCGCTTGCAGCATGAGGTTCTTAAGGGAGGGGGGTGAATGGGGGTATGCAACACAAGGTTCCCTAATACTCCCCACTACTCCCTGAAGCTCCCGAAGCTACCCTAAGGTTCCCTACTAGGTACCTCCCCCCCTGGAACCCCCCTCCCTTAAGAACCCTATCATTGCAGTTGCTTGAAGGTGCATGGTTCCTACCTGTGGGAGTTCTACCAATACGTATAAGTCTAAGCTTCTAGCTGTGAACGGCAGCTTCAAATCTTGGCTGAGAAGAACCACGCTTTCAACCATCCTCGCCGGATACCCCTACACTACACACTACACGCCCTATGTCAACCCAAAGCCCGAACTCTACACCTCCACCTAGGCTCTACACCCTAAACCGTAAACCCTAAACCCTAAACCCTAAACCCTAAACCCTAAACCCTAAACCCTAAACCCTAAACCCTAAACCCTAAACCCTAAACCCTAAACCCTAAACCCTAAACCCTAAACCTAACCCTAAACCCTAAACCCTAAACCCTAAACCCTAAACCCTAAACCCTAAACCCTAAACCCTAAACCCTAAACCCTAAACCCTAAACCCTAAACCCTAAACCCTAAACCCTAAACCCTAAACCCTAAACCCTAAACCCTAACCCTAAACCCTAAACCCTAAACCCTAGACCCTAAACCCTAAAAGTTTCTGAACTTCAAGCATGCAGAGCCCACGAGGCGAGCGTGTCGAGGAGTGGCTGCCGTTGGTCCTAGTGCCGACCTTGGACCACATCCTAGGGCGCATAGGTTTAGTTCGGCCTGCTAATGAAGACTAGCCCCATAAACGGTTTAGGGTTTAGGGTAATCCGTAAACCCTAAACCCTAAACTTTCGGGTTTAGGGTGCTTGGCCCTAAACACGAGGTTACAGGGATCCCCTGCCCCTCCCACCGCACTCTGAAATTTAGGCTAAACCCCTAAACACCAGCATCCCTCAGCCCCTAAACCCCTAGGCCCTCGACCCTTAAACACCCCCAACCCCCCTAAAGCACTCTTCACCCTAAACCCCTACACCCCACAGCCCTACGGAGCCACGCATGTAGAGTTTGGGGTTCGCGGCTTCGGGTTCTAATGAGGCCGTTTAGTCGTACGTAGCTGGAGCTCACTTTTCAGGGTTTCGGATTTAGGGTTCCCATGAGAAGCCACCTTCTAGAACAAGTTGGTAGACAATGTGTATAGAGTCTTTTTCTACATGAAAGTAGCCCTGCCGTAGCCCCTCGATTAGCCCTTACAGGGTCTCTCAGAATTGTCTCGCCTTCAGTCCCGTGTTTAAGGTAGGGTTCAGGGTTGAGGGTTTGGGTTTTAGTGTTGGGTTGAGGGTTTAGGGTTAGGGTTTAGGGTTGAGAGTTTGGGGTTTAGGGTTTGGGACACAGTTCCTATACCTTTCAAGCTACAAGCCATTGTCCCGGCCTTGTCCCCTGGAAAGCCTGAGGTCCCCCTGAACCCGAAGTCCCTTTGAACCCCGAAGTCCCTAAATCCCTAAATCCCTAAATCCCTAAATCCCTAAATCCCTAAATCCCTAAATCCCTAAATCCCTAAATCCCTAAATCCCTAAATCCCTAAATCCCTAAATCCCTAAATCCCTAAATCCCTAAATCCCTAAACCCTAAACCCTAAACGCGAAACCCTAAGCCCTAAACCTGAAGCCCTACGTACCTGAACTCCAAACCCTAAGGCCGTGAACCCCTCACGCCTCAACTCCCAAGACACTGATGCCCAAACCTCAGAAGAAATTTGGACGAACAGGCTGTCAGTTTAGGGTTCAGGGTTCAGGGTTCAGGGTTCAGGGTTTAGGGTTTAGGGTTTAGGGTTTAGGGTTTAGGGTTTAGGGTTTAGGGTTTAGGGTTTAGGGTTTAGGGTTTAGGGTTTAGCGTTTAGGGTTCAGCGTTTAGGGTTTAGGGTTTAGGGCTGTCAGAGAAAGACTTGTGCAGGCGGCGTCCCTTCCCTCCATGACGGGGGTGTTGCCGAAGGCGTGCACCAAAGTTCAATCCCCAAACCCTAAACCCTAAACCCTAAACCCTAAACCCTAAACCCTAAACCCTAAACCCTAAACCCTAAACCCTAAACCCTAAACACTAAACACTAAACCCAAGCCCTAAGCTCCATAGTTGTTTATACCCTAATCCCCAAGCCCTAAACCTAAACCCTCCACCCTAAACCCACCCTGAACCCAAACCTTCAGCTCCATAGCTCTCATTTCGTCCAGGCTACTCGAGGGTTTAGGGGTCTTTATGGTTCAGGAGTTCTCCTGAGCAGCTTGCGCTGGATGCCAGGAACATAGGCAAGTGTATTGACCAGGAGACATCGGAGCGTTTGTTTTTTTTTGAACATCGTTCACCGTGCGCTTGCCGAGGCTTAATCCAAGCCCTAAACATCTGGGGTTATGAGGTTACGTACATGTATACATGTATGTATGCTTAGCTGTTTATCTCTACCTCTTATCTCTAGCCCTGCCCTAAACCCTAAACCCTAAACCCTAAACCCTAAACCCTAAACCCCAAAAGAACATGAAAGTCTACGCCACGCAGCATGGAGAGCAACGCTACTCTGCCGCCAGGACGATCGAGGCCTTTCGGTGCTGCCATGGCCCCAGACCGAACAAAGTATGGTTTAGGGTTTAGGTTTTAGGGTTTCTTGCAAATGAATCCTGCTTGTGCATGTGCCGACCCTATCTTATACCCTACGCTCTAAATCCTAACTACCAATCCAAAGCCCTGCGTTTAGCAGGTCACAGCCCACGAAATACGGGGTATAACTTCCCCAAGTATTAGGTATATATGGGGCACCAGGTAAAGCGTGCAATCCCCCAACCCCGGAAATGTGTAATTGCCCATTCGGGCGCATAGTCATAGATTAAAGCCGAACGCGAGAACCTTAGAGTGAAGGGTTTAGGGTTTAAACCCCAAGCTCACCGTACTCTAAGCCCGAACCCTACCTAACTCCCCCGAAAGTATCTAATTAAGACAATGGTCCTTTTATGGGTTTTGGGCTATTTTTTTGCATACTTTGGGGAACCTGGGGGTCCAGGTAAACTCTAAACATACCAGAATGGCTGAGGGCACGCTACATGCCACGAGGCGCTAAGACAACATCCTCTCTTCGCCTGAGTTGTTGTAGCACCTGGGGTGCGAGGTTGAGGGGCTACTAGGTCTAAACCCTAAACCCTGAACCCTAAACCCGAAAGCCTCTAACCTAAACCCTCAAGTTACACCTCAAGACCCGAAGCCCACCCAAATCACGGAAGGGTTTTAGGGTTTAGGGTTTAGGGTTTAGGGTTCAAGCAGGCCCCACCCGCACCCGCTGAAGAAGAAGACGCTGCGAACTGGCAGGTACGTGGGGCTTCAAAGGGTTTTCGTAAACCCTAAGCCCTAAACCCTAAACCCTAAACCCTAAAGCCTAAACCCTAAACCCTAAACCCTGAACCCCTAAACCCCTACACCCCTGAACCTCTAAACCCCTAAATCCCCAACCCCAAAGCCCTCAAAGCTTAAGCCTAAGCCTGCTTGTTGATCCCCGTGCTCCAATTGTGGTCCCAGATGCTTCTCATCACAATCAGGTACCCAACATGACGCAGGGGGAGTTAGGGCTTTGGGGTTG